CAATGATAAAATATATCATAATATCATTATTGAATTAAAATTTAATACTATCCATTACAGTAACCTACTTGTAACTTTTTGTACAGCAGAGTGACATACACTTACMCGTTTTTCTTCCTTTAATATTTAGTAAACTGTATATTATATATGAATGTATATCGTTGCTTTATATCATAATGATCTTACTTGACTAGATTTGAGTCCAGCGGTAGGAGCTTTGTCTTCTGGATCGGATTCCGGAATTGGATCATTGGGTTTTAAATCGAACGAACCAGACCACCCAATCCACGTGCCTTTACATTCGACAACAACTGGAGCGACGGCCGTTACAAGACCACCCGCACTATAAATAAAACCATTAAATCGAATTGGCTTATTGAATATAACAAAACTAATTATTGTAATAAATAATAATAAGTAAGATAGGTACTCAATGTTTTCAAAATTCAAATTTAAATAATGTTATTGCAAATTGTTTAAATATTCGTTATTTTATCCACTTATCATAAATGTTTCTTAACATAAAATTGAAAAAACTTGTATGAAACCATTGAAACTATAATGTTCTACCTGGCACCTGGTAGTATAACGTTAACTTTTTAAAATAAATCTTAGTGGATAAATTGAGAAACTTGTTATTGTTGCATTTGTTTGCTCATTTTTTATGGTTAAGAGTTAAATATTAAAATATAGTATAACTCATCTCGAAAAAGTAGCCAATAATACAAAAAATATGAATATTTAATAATAAATATTATACTATAGATACTTGGTTAATTATCATAGTAACTATACAATATACATTGTTACAATATGGTAATAGTGTAATACCACTAACTTTATGGTAGTAACCTATTACACAGTAACTCACAACGAAATTTAGTATTTCTTACCTTTGTTTCCGCACTAATTCTCCGTCTGCGTTTTTACTCAACACAAATGGAAGTCTATTGGAAACTACGATGAGAGGAGCGTTGATCTCTCTCCTTTTGTTTCCCATGCCAGATAAGTCTGTGTATAACAAATAAATTTTTAGTTCTTAGTTTTAGGGAAATACGTTGTATGGAAGAAACACCTTTTAAGTTAAACGAACAAAAACGGAGTGAAATTGCATTGCTTTTTTATCCCCGTTTTATCCTATCGAATGAAAATTTATTTTTACTTATTTTTTTTTTTTCTTATAATCGAAATTGTGATGAAGCCATTTCAAAGACAGCGTTCTGGTCTCGCTGTTCAGAGTGGAATTGAATTCGTACGCATACATATACATGCATTTATTGTTAATTATACATATATTATAAAATAAATATATATATATATCCATATAGGTATGTACGATTGCAAATTGCAAGGTGTACAATGTGTACATACTAGTTGACAGTAGTCACTATAACAGCCCACTAATTTGAATAATAAAAGAGTAATTAAGATGTACGATGTGCCTTCCTGCAGTATGGTGCAGCTTAGTTAATCAAGTATTATACACACACACACTTTATATTGCCTATACTTTTACATACGATTTTTAAGTAAGAAATCTCGAAAAGTAGAATATTTTTTATTTAATATTGTTTATTTATAAATATATTGTATATTATTCATAAAATACCCATTTATTTGTTAGTACAAACGTTTTTGTCATAAGCCTCGTATTTTAATTCCCATTTACGCTTAAATGTAATATAACTAATAATAAAAAATTATTATTTAATATTGATATGAAAGCTAAATTATTTTACGAATTCTAGTGGTACTATACAATTTTAACATAATGTTCATAAAAGTTGTGTACCTACATTAAATAATTATAATAGAATACCCATTTGAAAAATAGCGATATTTTGAAGGTATTTTCCATTAATATACAATTAATGTGTTCGACTAAAACGTAAATAGCAAAACATGTACCTACAAAATATTTTGTAGGATAAAGGAATATTTTAATTTTTAATTGATATCATAGCTGACAGAATACATTTAGTTTTTAACTTCAGAACAAAACTGTTAAGATCAAATATTTATTATTTTTTAAAGATATGATTCTATATCGTAAGTAGTCAATATGAATAGTTATAAAATTAATATTTATCGATTTTAACTTCTATATACTACTTAGTAGCAAACATTTACCACTATTTTGTAGATAATAATATAATCATTATATATTAATCAAACTAGTAAATACAGTATTTAATTACATGGCCATATAATAGTATCTATGTTGACTACCATTTTAAATCATGATGAACCACTTATAAAAAATAAAATGATCACAACATGGAAATAAATTATGTTTCACTTCTATAATATATTATTAAATTAATAACAATTAACCGTTTTTGATAATTTATTTGAAACCAATTATTTTAAAATCATACCAAACAGTACACAAAGAGATTAATTTTCATATCATTTTTTTTATCGTGTAAAGAAGGCTCGTGACGTCATTTGATAACCTTGACTACTAAAACAGAAGGTAATAAATTATTTGAAAATATGATAAGCTATGCAATGTGTGCATACAACTGTTACGTGAAACTTAATCTACGCGCAGTACGAGGATTTCTAGTTTTTTGTAGCACTACCTCTATTTATCCACTTCATTAATTAAATAAATAAACAAACGCATTATTATAATATCATATAAAACATAAGTTCAATGCAAAAAATAGTTTAAAAAAAATAAACATTTACGAATAAGTATATAGTATGTAAATTGTACATATGACCATAAACAAATGTGTCAATAAAATAGGCGAGACCAAGACATGAGTACAAAAAACGATTAAAAATCTATAATCGAGTATTATATATACAATTTAACTCTTTCGAAAATAACAATTATTTTGATTAAATATGATGTGACAATATTACAAGCGACAGATGAGTCATGTAGTCATAATATCATTAGATACATACTGCTGTAGTATTTTATTTCAATTATTGAAAACCGTAACGCGCGCGAAAGGTTTAGTGCCGTTTATTTATAAAATTCCAAAGACCGAACATATTTAAATAACAATAATTTACAACTACAACTTTCTGACGAGCAATTATTTTAATTACCGGTATTTATATAATAGGCGCGTTTTTAAAATGTATTTTCGTTCAATAACACATCAACGAATGAACGAACCGTCGTATTTGGCTTGCAACTTATCGTACAAAAACATTTTTAATCAAAAAACAATTTTGTAATTTATAAGTTTTTATACCTCCATATTTAATTGAAGGAAACGAAAAATAGCGTCGATTAACTAAGCGAAAGAAGACTGAAAAATAGTGTATTTTTTACTCCAATCTTGAAAACATTGAATAAAAAAAAAAACGCCGTGACGTTCGCGATAGGTGAGCACCCGAGCCTCGCCAACAGTGATCAGATTATGCAGTACACGCCATGGAGACTCTCCTACCACCCCTCAAGCATAATATTCATACAATGTTTATACGAGTTATTTTATCGCCGAGCAGATTTGAAATATTTACAAGTGGCAAACGCGATAAAGAAAAATTAAATTATACACGCGCGTATTGTGTGCAAAACGACAAATAACAACAAGCCGTACAGCTGTACAGGTACCTATTATCGAGAGGTACTTGTATACATTATAATAAATTAATTCACACGAATTCAAATTTTAAGAACAAGATCGCATAATATAAAGAATATTTATGCGCCCAAACTAACTCAACCGCTGTCTCTTAAATGAAATAATTACACGATCGGTTTGGTATTATTTTAAATGTATTGTTGTTATTGTAATTTATTATCGAATCGTTGTATCTTACTTTGACCGTTGGTCCGGAATAAGTTGCTGGGTGCATTGGAATCATAGTCGTTGATGCTTACACGGCGGCTGGCCATGACGGTGATGCGTTTGTTCAGATGTAATATGTATATGTAATATGATTAATATGTATCTTAAATGTTATATTGATAATAGATCGGTCTGTTGAGACAATGCGAACGTTCGACCGTTGACTGTAGACTATCTGTCTGTACGACTCGAGTTATATAAGTGAAACGCGTTCTTATCACAAATCGGAACCAAGACAACTTAATATTATTACACACACACACACACGCCGTACACGCGATTAATGTTTTGCTGCGTGTATTGGGAAAATTCGATCATTACCATTTTATATTATCAGATGTATTCATTTATTGCATGCATAATAATATTATTGCACAGTATTATACACACGGATTTGATACAGATTTATGATATTAAAACACAATAACACATTAACGCGTGTATGGTATATAGCGATAATAATTATACTGTCCGATAGGTTCGCTCGCGGATCCAAATGATCGTTATTTGTTGTAACGCCACTGATGCGACATTCGGCCAACAAGTCTACACTATTGTTTAATAATTTGATTGCAGGTGGGAAGGGGTTTGTACCTACCTACGTACTCTGCCCGGCGCGTGCGATTGAAAATAATAATAATTAAATCAGAGTGTGATGTTGCAAACTCGCCTATGGTCCACACAATTTTTTTTATAGAGGTTTATCCACACTCTCACTTGCCAAAGATGATTCCATGACCATTTGAAAATAACGACTATTCGGCATTTTTAATGATTTGTCACATTCGTGGCGAGAAGGAGAAGGGCATAGTATTTTCACTGAACAGTCTTTATGTTTAATTTAAGGTACATAGAGCTGTTCATTTTATAATATATTAGATTATATTCAGTGATATACCCGATAGATTTAATTTTTTGCAATCCATTATGGCGCATTGGCGCCATCATGATAACGAATTACCTCGATCGAAATTCCTGTCTATAAAAAACTAATCGATAATATAACGGCCGCATTACCGTAAACGACAAACATCTAGAATATTCGCAGAAAGTTTGGTACATTAAAACATAATTATTTTCTTCCAAAATTGTAATTTTTATACCTTTCCCTTTCCACCAAAAAAAATAATGACCAATACTTTATGTTTCTTTTTTAAAAATCATAGTTCACCATAAATATATCGTTTTTTTTTTTTAAATTTAAATTATAATTGTCAAATATGATTTCATCGAACTTATAAAATATCATTTATAAAAACTTTGATCTATTAATCAATTCTAAAGTGTATTATATATTATATGTATTTCATTATGCATTTGTGAATTGTGACAGACCTTTATTGTATTGCTGTCAACGACACGCTCTAAAAACATGATTTTAAATTTATAAATACTAAATGCTAATTATTATTTGTACAAGTGCCTATATATATTGTGCTATTGCTTTCTTTTGATATATCATGTTTAAACTAAAAAGAATTTCATCAATCTACATTTATTGATGTTGCATATTAGGTATATAGCTACACGTTTATCTTTAAAATAATATTAAGTATTCCATTTTTTTAAATTTTCTTTGTACCTAGTATAATTGAATCCATTATTTAAAAAAATTACTTGTAAAAGCACCATGTGTGCTGAAACATTTTATGATTATAATAAATAAAAAATAAAAAAAGAATTTTTTTTGCCCATATTAAATAATAATAATAACTACTAAATTATTGAAATGGTAAATTTAAATGTGTATCAATACATAATTGGTATAAAAATTGTTTTAGTAGGAATGGGTGTCAGTCATTATACATATAATTTAGTTGAAAAGATACTCTTATGCGGTTGAGACGAGTTACCTCCATTTTGGGCCTTCACATGAGTTTCTTAGTGAAGCTCAGGTATCTATAATAATTAAAACTAAAATAAATAATTAAAATTATAATTAAAATTATAATAAATTAAAATATTAATATTAAAAAAAATTAATTAATTAACTAATACAATACAATAATATAATATAATGTATATCATGGTATACACAGTCGTTTAAATGTTGCGTTATCTATCATTTTGACGGGAATTACGTTAAACATACAAAAACTGCAGATTTTGAATAATATTAAAAATATCGAAACTACCTATTATGCAATTATAAACCGTAAAGAGAAGATAAACATTCCCAAACCAATAGATTATAAATACAGTCTCGGGACTCTGTTGCATGTGTGTTCACAAAATTTGAATGACTCCCAAATTATTTATGAAAAATTGAAACATACGGATTCAATATATTATATGGCCCAATATGGGTGATGATAGCAATGACTTAAGTATGAAAAATAACACTTCAAATAGTCACATGATGTGTTTCGTTATCGTTTCCAAAATGATTATAAATTTATAAATAATATTTATATAAATTAAACAAGACCTAGTAGACCTACATCAATTTTGGTTTCCGGTGCTTTGACACGGCTCTCTTCGCTAACTTTCGCGATGCCCCTAGGAGCTACAACGCACAGTTTGAATACCTTTGCAATACATAAATAGCACTACGAATTAACAATAATATATAACAACATAACTGTATAAGTGCGGAGGAGTCTGCACCACTGCCTTAAATTAAAATTAATAATAATACATCGTGCGAGAGATTTTCTTTGAAATCACAAATTCAACGATTGAACATTGCTAGGTAGTGAATATTATATGTCCATTTATTAAAAATTCAAGAATCGTTGCTATAATAGGTATTTGTTTTTTTTTTATTACTATTTGAACGCGTGTCGGGTGTACTATACATTTCATTTTGCGGGCAATAATTATTTGCTTTTCCAATAATTAGATTTCTAAAATTAACATTTACAACAAACGCTCGAGGTTAACACTGATTTTTAAGGTATCCTTTTCACTAAAAATATACAGCTCTTACTCACTATTAAATAAATTCCAACGTTAGCGATTTCGTTCCTTCAACGACAATCGAATCAATTACCTTTTTCCCCGCAGACAAAATAATTATTTCGTATATAATTTAATAATTTATTATATTTTTATAGAAAAACTTTTATTTTGTATAAAAAGAAAAAATATGATGCATGGGAATCAAGGCAGGAATCTCTGGCAAGACGTTCATCTCCGTTATAGATAAGATCACCATCAAAACGAATGTTACAGACTGATCCAATATTATCATTATTTATTGTACGGTCATTATAGACAAATTATGATCCATATTATACATAATAATCGTACTTATGAATTCTAATTTATAACAATATACAAGTACCTAACGAGTATAATACATATTTTATCGTATTTGACTATTATCTAATAAGTAATAATGTTGATTGTTAAACGAACTTCGATCTCATTACAACAATAACGCAGTAATACGCAGTATACAATATAGTGTTATGCCACATATTAACATATCAATAATTTATATTGTATTAAATACAAACAAAAAGTATTTTCAATATATGCATTATAATATATCATTTTGATTGTATTGTGTGCATCTAATGTTAAAATCTGATTATTTGCAATATAATTGTTTTAATGGAGAACCACTACTGTATCTAATATACAATAATTATCGACAGCTAATAAAACAGCCATTATTATTGTTAGTAAGTACTGCAATAATTAAAAAATTACAATACTATCGAACTCCACGTGGCTCGTTGTGATTGCTTGATTTGATAGCAAACAAATATATAATCAGTGGTGTATTTATTTTATTACCTATTTGTTTAGTGCTTTAACCCTAATATTCTGAAACACGTTTATAGAAATAGGTTATACCAATTAATTATTATTGTTTTTTTAATCCTTTGAAATACATACACTGTCATTTACTAATTAATCGTTATGCTCTAAATGATTTTGCTAAAAGCTTAGGTAGGTAACAATTAGAAACTGATACTTTTAATCAAATCCCAAAGACCAATAGTTTATGGTATACTAAAAATAAATGGTTATAATAAAAATGAAATAAATATTATTTAAACTAGTAAGTACCTACTTGATAAGTTTTTGTTTTCTGTATTTTAATTGCTTTCAATTTTAAAACATGAAGTTTTTAATTAAGTGTAGGATAATCAAATACTGTTGAACTTAAAACGTACAAACAAAACATTATTTATGACTACATTTCCACTATATTTATGAATACAATTATTTACATATATAATGAGAAATGTCAATAATTAGGTATCCATCCAAGTATCAAGTAAACAAAACAAAAGTTATTTAAAAGTAACAAATCATTTGAATTGTAAATTGCAATTAATAAACTTTTAATTTTAATTTGTTGAATTGTGTTTACAATTTTTTACAGTTCACTCTATAATATAGAGTCTATATCATATAGGTAGGCGTCATTAAAACATAAGTACATTTAAAGTAGTATATAGCTCTTAAATATGTTTTTTTTGTTTTAGCTAATAACTCAAAATGTCCATAAAAAAAACAAGGAAGGAGTTAAGGTCAATGAATTTAAACATTTGGAAATAACCGGTTAATTATTACTTATAGGTATATTATGGTATTTACGTATAAATTGATAAATTATTTAAATGTTTTAAATTAGTATTTAGGCATTTAAGTCTGAACGCAAACATTTTAATTTCATAGAGCTACAAAACCATTATGAAATTTATTTAATATGGTTATGGTTATTACTTATTATACTATCTAGATCTGTAGACTGCAACAGGATCGATCCGTGTATACAATATGTCACAAATCAACGCGATTGATTTCGTTTAAATGATTATTATTGTTTAAGAAATATAACTTTTAACACGTATGTCTACATTAAAATAGCTATGTTATAACTATAATCAGATATTTCCAAAACACAAGTATCTATGTCCTATTCTGTGTTCTAATGATGTAATTAAAACAGTAGGTAGGTTAATAAATGTATAGGAATGTATTTTATATGTAGGTATACCTATATATTATTACCTAAGCGGTAAATGAGTTGTTAATAGTTGAAAGGAAAAATACATTTATAAATACAAATTATACCTATGAGCGTTATACACGTTTAAGGTCAAAATATAAATAATCAATCGAAATTCGTGGCTTTGTCCAAACAATGCATATATTTTGTTAATTAACGTTTAATTGATTTGGAAAATTTAGTATATAGCATTCAAAATTACGTCTCAAAAATTGTAGGTGTATAATAGGATTAGGTATTTATATAAGCTTATTAATAATATAATATAATAACCTAACTTAACCTAATCATTTACAAAACATAATGCTTTGGAGTAAACATCTCAACAATATTATATTATTTGCTAAATACTTGATGTTCCGGTTTTATTATTTTTTTACACAACATAAAAAAAAAATATCATAATATATAGTATTAACTATTAATTATTACTTTGTTTATTGTTTATGACCTAAAAGTATTATAGTTGCTTATTATATATTTATATAT